CCTCCCAGGAGGTTATAAGCTACTATTGCATATGACTGCTGAGAGCCAAACACTGGTTCCCTGGAACAGCAGCGCGTATTCTCAACTGCTGAGCCACCTCTCCATTTCCCTGCCTAGTTATCTTTAATTTTTAAGAATGCACTTGTTTTTCCCTTTTTCACAAAAGCTCTATAACGTATTTTCTTTCTTTCTTTTTTTTTTTCATTTGACAGATAGGGGCACTGAGGAACTGACAGGCTAAATAGTTGGCTGACCTGTACAATGTCCCATATCTAACAAGTAGTGGAGCTATGGATTGAGCCCAGGGGCTTTGGCGCCAGAGATCCAATGCTTAATGACTGCTCTATGTTGCCCCTTGGCTTACAATCTGTCTTCAGGTCCCATGAGTCTCTGAGGTGGCTGGGACTTTTGCTTGTGGCCTGAATTCATGCTTTCTGTGTCCTTCCACTACTTCTTACAGGCCAAGGCTGTCTGTCACTGGGCCAAGTCTGCTCACTTTTCCCGCCAGAGGGGTTTTGCAGACACAGGCACTCTGAAGGAGGCAGAAATCTGGGCAGGCAGCATTTATGGCAGCCAGAGTTCTGGTGGACATCTTGAAAGAGCCACACATTTCTGTTGCTGACTGTGGGCTGGAATATTTAGTGTCAGGACACATATTCATCAACTGTAAAGCAAAGTCATTCAGAGAACAGAAATGACAATGTTGCATTTCCAGGAAGGCATGCTTCCATGTGCCTCGTGTCTTTCCTGATCAAAGGTTTTCACTTTCCTACAAACTGGAGATGAGTTGGCTGTGGTAGCCAGATTCCCAGATAACACAATAGAGCAGTTTGGACTTGTGATTATACATGGGGAAAACATGGGGAAGACAAAGAGGAAACTCCACTTAAGAAGAGAAGAAGAAAGTGAAAAAAATCCACTGATGACCTGTTGGGGATCATTTCTGTGTACTTTCTAAAGTTTGATGCAGGGATGCTACTTTTATGGCTTGAATCAGAATGACCACATCCTTGGAAAGACAAGCAAACATGGTTTTGAACTTGTGTTTCAATCCTATGATTTTCAAGCTGGAGTAAGTGTGACAGATGAAAGGTTGTACACAGGATATGGTCCTAGACACATCTCCCTCCCAAGTAGGCTTAGCCTGTAGTAAGAGAAGAGGGAGCCAGTGTGGTTGTTCACCTTCCTGGGGATCTCTGTTATAATTCCTGGGTTTGGCCTCAGTGCTTGGAGGGAGATGATGGGGTGGTTTGTGGAAGAATCACCTGCTCCTTAGCAATCGGATAAGGTCATCAGGCATCTGGTGTTCTTCCGAAGCTGCCAAGAATTGCATAGCTTTTATTCTATAGTGGGGGGAGGGGCTGTAAGATGTAATACTGGGGTGCTGCTGCAGATGGTGGGGCTCTAGACTAGGCAATATTAATTGAGCTCTTTGATGGGAGGATCCAGCAGCCCACAACGTCTTCCATCCTACAAATCTTGGTCTTAATTGTCAACTTGGTAGGATTTAGAATGACTTGAGACTCAGAGGACATCAAGGAAAGGTGAGCACGACTAAGGATACAAACCCTTGAATGTGTCTGTGAAAGGTTTAATATTAGTGGAAAGACCTACCCTGAATGTGGGCATCAAGAACCCCATGGACAACTTTTGTCTCTTCTTCTTAAAAATTGATCTTTTTGTTGTATGTGGTTAGTTATTTTACCTGCTGGATTGTCTGTGCTCCACATGTGTGCACTGCTTGAGGAGTTTAGAAGAAGGAGGGGTTCATGCCTGGTACTGTAAACCTAGCCAACTACTTGTGACAGGAGAGGTCATGGATTCTAGAGGGAAACCTATTACTGCTACATTCCTAAATCACTATAATTTCTAACTATCTGAATTCTACTTATGTGTGTGGTTATCAGAGAAGAAGATAGAGGCCATTACATAGACCCACAATTGGACAAAATGCATAGAATACGTGACCATGGAGTAATCAGCTAACCCTAAATCTTTGACTCAGAGGACATCATGGAGAGCAGGCAGAAAGAATGTAAGAGCCAGGGAATCAAGATGCTTGATGCTAGGTAATGCCTTCTAGACATGACAGCGATGCTGCACTCATGAAATTTCAATAATGTGGTTATTGAAACAAGTCCCATAATAAGCATACCAGTTGACATGCCAAGGGGGCTGGGAGGAATTTCACAAAACATCTTTAGATGAAGCACTACAGGCAATCAGTGGTTGCTGAGAGAGGGAGAATCAGTTTTCTCCAGGGGTTAGGAATATTCTGATAGGTTATCCTGTCCCAAATGGTCAGTCCTAAACATAAGTACATATGAGTAACACTAAATAGACTCAGCAAATGATAATGATGTGTATAAAATTATAGATGAAGAGGTGAGGGACTTGAGAGGGAGTAGGAGGGATATAGGAGGAGTTGGAAGGGTATAGAGAAGGATAAAACTGATGGAAATACAATCAACACTCATGTAGAAAATTCTCATAATACTAAATTTTAAAAGGTTTTGTAAGGAGTATGGTTTTTCCGCCCGCCATTGGTCTTGCCCCGCTGCCGCGCCAGCCCCAATTAACACACAGAGACTCTGCATTTGATATAATTTTGTTGGCCCTTTACTAGTTTCTTATCAGCTAGCTCTGTCTTAAGTATTAACCCATTTCTATGTATTTTCACGTGGTCTTACGTGGTCTTCTTACCGGGGAGTGGGGCCAGCGTCTCGTCTCTCCAGTCTCTCCATCTTGACCCCTCCTTACTACTTCCTCTTTCCTCCTTGTCTCCTAGTCCCTCCTATCTTCCTTTCCTATTGGCCAACAGTGCTTTATTCATTAACCAGTATGAGAAACATATATACATAATGGCATCTCCCATCAAGGTTTTCCTAACATATGTTAATTATATATAATAATGGGTTTCATTATAACATTTTCATACATGTGCATGATATATGTCCGATGTGGTCAGCTGTCTCATGCTGTCATCACCATGTCCTCCTGTAAAAATTGGTCATATCTCCTTTTAAACCGTGAACTAAAATAAACCCTTTCTAAACTGCTTTTGTCAGATATTTCCTCACAGCAATGAAAATACTAACTGGTCTACATCATTCTTCCAGGGATAAATAGGGGACCCAGTCTATGAGGGAAGTGAAAGTAAGAGCCCTGAACAGACGAACTACACTCTTCTCAGCTGAGATATTCAGATACTGAGCAACTACTAGGGTGCTGGCATGCTGGGTGTGGTCTCAGAAGATGGATCTAGAAGATAGGGAGAGGATGAAGGCACCTTAAGAAACTGAGAATAAGATGTGGAAGGGGCAACATCTTCTTGAGGGCCCTAGAGAAGGAGTAGCTCATTGCCCTGCCCAAGGGGAACTCCCTCAAGGAGCCGAGAGGCATCATAGCTCTGTGGAAGGGGCATTCCCTACTTCTACTGGGGAGTAAGCAGCTTGCCTTGGCTTTATGGGTACAAGGGAGTTGTTTTGACAAGAGGACTTAGGAGGAAGAACTGAGCAGGAGCCAGATTGTTCTGGGTTGGGGGTGAAAGGAAAAGGCAGGTGGATAGTGAAGATCAGAGAAGCAAAGCAGCCAAGCCAGCAGATCTTACCTCTACCTAGCTGAAGTGGCAATCCTGTCTCCATCTCCATGAATCCTGAGAGGCAAAAGGCACTGAATTCCTGTCTCCTCCTTATATTCCTTTTTCTATCCAACCATATGCTCCTGTCACCACCTCCCTAGTTCTGGGATTAAAGGCATGTGATCCCAAGTGCTGAGATCACCTTTGTATGAGCTGTTTCTCTTAGGACTGGATCAATTTCATGTAGTCAGTGTGGTCTTGAACTAACAGAGATCTGTCTACCTCTCAATCCTGAGTCCTGGGATTAAAGGTGTGTGCCACAACCTCCTATCTCTATGGCTGCTGGGATTAAAGGTGTGTACTACCATTGCCTAGCTTCTATAGCTAACTAGTATGGCTGCTTTGCTATTTTCATGTTCAGTGGCTTTAATAAATCATAAACAATATATTACCAAAATGTTTTTAATAGATCTGGGTTTGGGACCCTGGGGTGAAGTTCCTCCTCCAGAGGAAGTGAGGCAGATCTCAGTCATGCCTTTCCATTAGTGGCCGGGACCCAGAGGGGAGGCAATGTTGACCTTTCCTTGTACTGTTGCCGTACTCTTCTGATTTCATGCTTCCAAATGAACAGAGTTAGGTGTGGTGCAAGCTACATTAAATCGGGGAAAGGACTTTAGACTTTGGACACACTGCAAGTGTGCACAGCTGCTTGGACATACTACTGTGGTCTTACATCTGTCTATAAAGTGTGGGTCTACTTCTTGAACAGTGGGACCAGGGATGTCTCCATCTTAGGGTCGGCCCCTACCAAACATCTATGTAAAGGAGCCCTCTCTGGAAGAAGAACTGGATCTGACCCTCTGTGATTTGTTGTCTGCAGTATCTTCCTACTTTCTGGGGACACCTCATCTCTAGTGGATGAAGCAGGAACTCATTTCTGTATGGAGCCAAACTTAGCCCATATTGTAGGGCTACAGCAGGATGACCAGGGAAAGTAAGTATATGTTCCCACAAAGTAAAACCATGGTAGTTAGGAGCCCCTGGATCTCAGAGAGAATTTCTCCACTCTTGCCCCCAGTCTGGAATTCCCAAAGTGCCTGCAAGCCTGTTTCTGCCTCTGTAAGATGAAGGGCTGGGGTCATTAGGGCTTCTGGGCCCTAATGAGAAAACATTCCATAGCACATGCTGAGAAATTTGTCACACCCACATGTGTGCATGTGCACAGGCTCTCTCTCTCTCTCTCTCTCTCTCTCTCTCTCTCTCTCTCTCTCAAACACACACTCGAACTCACACACACACTCTGCTGCAGCATTTTGGTGATGCATAGGATAAAAACAACAGCTTCTGAGGGTACCAAAGTCCTACCTGACTTGGATTTGTGGGGACTAGAGGTTCCCTGAAGAAAATAAGAACACAGAGACACTTTTCTCCTGGCTGTTTATTACAGAACAATGGGAGAAAAACCAAAACAACAACAACAACAATAACAACAACAACAAAAAAAACTGCACTGGCCCAAAATAGATGCCAGATTTCAAATGTAGAATCAAAATACAAGGTGGCAATTAAAATGTGATTACACAAAATCTGGACACTGAGAAAAGTTTACGGGACAGTGGCTGTGGATTTTCTCTAATAGACGCTTAAATATACATGACGAGAACTGCAAAGAGAAACTATTAAAGACAAACCCCAAATCAACTATTAATGTTTACAGACTTTCCCCCCAAACCCCAGAGATTTACATCAAAATGAGTGTCAAATGGTTTAAAGCAGACTTTAAAGCATCACACTGTGATGGTGCACCAAAGCTGTCTGAAGCTGGGGCTTTCTCTGCATCTGCAGGTCACCATAGGTGACAGAGGGAAGGGAAGGCTCACACAGTGCTCAGCTCAAAGGCTATCTCTGCACCTCTCCTAACCAAACCAAAGGGATGCTCTTGGCCTTCTATGAGTGTCTCTGTGGGACACGTAATCATACCATGACTTTTGCTGTAAATGCTCATTAGGAAAGAATTAGCTGAGATTTAAAGGCTTGTGAGAAATAGAGTCACACAGGGGAGTACAGTTTGTAATGGAGTGGAAATTAATGACCAAGTGGCTTTCTATTTGGCATTTGTCAGTTTGCACAACACCCCTTGGTCACATCCACATCTCTCGTGGCATGACAACCTCAGTGACTCAGCCACCTGGTTTAACAAGGTATCACTGGAGCGAACAACACAGTCTGCATATTTGGAACAATGTATAACAAACACAACTCTATTGAAACCAAAGCTGCCACTTTATTTACAAAGCCACAAAACCAAGTATAAATACTTCTGTCATTTATGATTAGGAAAACCATTTACAAAATTTTCAAATATATACAAGTAGCTTGAAAAATCACCAGCTTTTTATTCATCAGGTAGATAGAGGGATGGGCAGGGATGACAGGATTCAGATTGTAACTAGGAGCCTAGTGTGGGTGTCTGGGGCCAGTTTCAAGTTGGCTGCAGATTCAGGCCACTCTTTTGAGTGAGAACATGGGTCTTTCTGGAGCACCCTGCTTTGCTTTATAGCTCCTCAGCACCCTGGGTGACTTGGTCAGCATTCTGGGCTGTAGCATTTTGGGTAGCAGCATGCTGTTCCAAAATGTCATCTATCAGCCTCAAGTTGCACACCCAGTCTTCATCTGGGGCCACATTGGAGCCTTCCAAAAGCTCTTCCATGAAATCCACCTCACTGCCTGCAGATGATGGTGAAATCAGACCATCTGTTGGGGACTGGGCCTGAGGCAAGACATTGTCCTGTGGCTCAGGGAGTGTGCCAGTTCTGATCAATGTACCTGGGGACTGGCTAGTGGCAACAATAGCAGCTGCATACCTTGGTGGCTCCAGTCCCTGAATAGGACTCATGGGAGAGCAGCTGGCCATGCTCTGCTGGAGGGACTTGATGCTTACTACAGGCACTGGCCCCTGTGCTGGGCTCTGCACAAGGCTCTGATTACCCAATAAGCTGAATCTGGGGCTGGCCAGAGAAGCTCGCACCTTCCGGCCAGGCATGGCTCCTAGGGCCATGTGATTGGCTTGAGCCACAGCCTGCTGACATGGAAATGCTAGGACTGTTGGGGGTATACTTATGGGTGCCTTGGAAAAGATGATGGAGTTGCTATGAAACTGCTGCAGCATGCTATCTACTTGGCTCAGGGGTGATGATCCCTTTGAAACTGGAATGGCTACAGCCGCAGCTGCCACTTTCCAGACTGCATTACTGAACACTGGAGACTTGATTGGCACACGGGGGAGGCTGAGCTGATGGGGGATCAAGGGATGACTGCCCAGGGGGTTGAAACAGAGCTTGGGCAGGGGCACTTCTGGGGGCATGGCCCTGGCTTTGGGACAGACAGAGCCAAGGCTATTCAGGGGATCCTGACCCAAGCCTGAGGAGATGGAAAATGGGAGGCGGGTGTTGACTTGCTGCTTCTTCAGACTTGATGAGAAAATACCCACGTGATTTGTGGGTGCTAATATTCTTGGGATCAGATTGTTCTGAAGGAGCTCAGTTTTGGGTGGCATCATATGCTGGTTGGGTGAGGGTCTTGCCTTGGTCTGGCTACCCTTGGAGATGACTTTTTCTTGTACTGCTGCATAGAAAGAGGCATAGGGATTAGTTCCAAAGGTGTCCTGAATTTGGGCTGTGGTCACTGGGCATGAGCTACAGGCACAATGTAGTCTTCAACCTCACCCGTGGCTGTCTTTCTCCCAGTCCCTCCCGAGCCCCATCATTCCTTTGCCAGCCGCCTGGAATTAAGGTCTCCTAAGAATTCCCCATGCTAACAGCAGTCACTATAGCAGTGGCCCTCAACCTTCCTAATACTGGGGACCCTTTAGTATAGTTCCTTCTGTATGGTGACTCCCAACCACAAAATTATTTCATTGCTACTTCCTAACTGTCATTTGCTACTATTGTGAATTATAATGTAAATATCTGATGTGCAGGATATCTGATATGCTACCCTTGTGAAAGGGGCGTTTGACCCACGAAGGGGCTCATGACACACAGATTGAGAACCATTGCTGTACAAAGAGCAGATAATGCTGGACTTCAAATGTCAACTGATTTCTTTGCCTCTTGATGTATATTGGAGGCTCTATGAAAGCAGGGACTGGGATTACATGTACTCTAATATTCTGGCACTATCCATCCCTCAACAGATGGTTCCTATTTTGAAGGAAGGGAGAGGTGGGGGAGGGCCTGAGAAAGAAAGAACAGCCACTTAGATAACAGAATGCATGACTTGTCTTAGTTTCTCTACTTGATAAATGTAACACACAGGGGTGAGGGATACTCTGTTCCTTCCAAAGTCTCATAGCCTAAGCAGCCTCAGTACCCAGACCAGAGGCTCACGTGTATATGATCTGAACTGCAGTGGAGGCTTTTTCTAAAGACTGGAAACTCAGAAGCCTCATGTCCTGGAATGCTCATGGCAGAGACATAGGAGCAGATGAAAGGTGAGACCCTCAGTGCTTTCGGTTGGGGATGAGTTTCTTTTCATTATCAGACATGCCACTGTGACCCATATTTACTGGGACTTCTGGTAGAGTGGGAACTAAGGTAAGTGGTGGTGCTGGACTTTGCTGTGGGTCAAGTAGGGAGCAGTCCTGGCCTGGGTGATCTTCCAATAGCTTATGCTTGACACTATGAGTAGATTTTCTCCCTTTCTTGTAACCATGCCTACGATCTTTCTGTAGAACGAAGCAAGTATTTCACCTCTGTTATGATCCGACCTCCTAAAGCTAGTCCCCTGAGTCCTATTTTTGCTGACTCCAGTCTGGCCAGGAGGACACAGCCCTGGGTGCTACCAGGTCAAAGGGAGCATGGTGTGTTGCATAAGAATTGAGAAACACGGATGTTTAGGTAACATGGGCCTGAAATAAAGATGTAGGCTACCTGTGTGAGGACCAGCCAGCAAGTGCTAAGCACTGCTTATTCAGGACCTGTGAATTACATAACATGGCACTAGCTTGGAGAGTTGTTTAACTCAGGTTGCCTTGGTGCATCTGTAAGCTCCATGAAGTTGAAGCTGGTTTTTGCTGACCACTGCTAATACATATTGATGAGACTGATACCCATTATATAGGATAGTAATCCTTAGTTATCTGCGGAGGATATGGCAACACCCACACACACATACAACCACTATATAAGGAAGAGTATCTCCAACTCCTTTTTCATTCCCCATACCTTCTAGATTAAGGGACTGAAACCCATCAGAAATAAATTGGAACATGTGTGTTAAAGGGGGGCAAGGCAGGGCCCCAAGCGACCTGTTTCTCATTGAAAGTGGGGTAATATTGATGTACTTTTGTAAGTGCAACACACTGGGAGGATGAAGCACATGGACATCTGGAGTATAAGAGTAGCTTGGGCTCTAGAGTGAGATCCTATCTTCAGATCACAATGAACAACAACAGAATAGGGGATTTAATGGATCTGACTTTTTAATCACCCTCTTCAATTACAGTGATACTGGAACCATTATGGTCAGGCTTTCTATTGGGATGGGTAGTGCTCTCAGAGGCAGGTGAACTGCTCTCAGTGTTAGATTCCTACCCTGGGCACTAAGGATGTGACTTTCAGACTTCTTCCTGTCCCTCTAACAGCACATGCAAAACCTGTAGGGTCATAAATGAACTGGCCCTCCACCTCACTGGCTCCTTTAGGAACACTTATCTTTTCTGCTTACCTTGAAATTGAGTCATCTGCTGGGCGATATACGAATTCCGCTGCTTAGGGGTCATTGCCATAGGACCTGATCTCTGCTTCCCTTGCTAAACAGAAGATGGAAATGTCATATTAGATTACAGATACTAAGAAATATCAGCCTTGGATTGCTGTGTGGGGACCTAGGACTTGGCTGTGGTGCAGCAAAAGCATGAGTGGACACTTCAACACACACTCGCATGCATGTCCCACCCTCCTGAACAAGATCACACAAGTAGACATAAAAGAGTCTGCATCTGGGTTAAGGAAACCAACTGTAACAGCATAGGATAGAGCAGGAGAGACAGAGCTCAATAGCAAAAGCACACAGAGAAAGAGTTAGGCATTTTGGATGTTTGTCTGCTCAGGATGGGTCAGCAGTGAGATATGGTTGCCAAAAGAGCAAATGTAACATCAGGCTGCATTATTGAAAGCAGAGTATGTAGAAGGAGGGAGGTGACAGTCTTATAGTACTCTGACTTGGCCAAACCAGACCCACAGTACTAACAGGGTATCTGGGCATGTCACTCTGGGAGCTTGAGCTAAAGGAGCTATATCCTGAAGATGGCAAACAATGGGGGCTAGGGATAAATACTTTGAATTATCCAGTCAAGGGATGGATGGTGAGCTGGGGCTGCTAGGGCTAGAACAGAGCATCTCTAGGCTATTTGTTGGTGACTGTCCCGCTTCTGTAAAACTGTCATGGAGTAAGTACTGAAGCTTGATCCAGGTGGTCCTGAATGGTCACGTGGTCTAATGGACACACCATTCCACACTCAGAGCAGCCAGATACTCACTGGCCACTTCCCTTCTCCCTGACTTGATGTAGTATGGAGAGTGGGAGGGAATTCCTGTCTTCATCTCCAAGTGAGCTGGGTGTTCAAGGGGAGCAGCCCTACTTCAGGGCCACAAGCCCTGTTCGGAATCAGCTCATGGCACCGAGGGCAAAATGACAAGCAGGCTACCAGTGAAGCCTGAAGGCCGGGCATGGTGATGGATGACAGCCTTGAGCCCCTCACGTTGGCGGGGGCTGGCAGTGACTGGAATGAAGGTGTGACTTGGCACACGTCAGACCTCACCTTCTCTTACCACCTGCCGCCACTTCCACCTTTCTGCCCTTCCCAAACAGTCTGTGCCAGTGTGCCAACCATCCAAGGTGGCCGCCCGGAAGCACACACGCTTGGGTCACTTGCTGGCCTTGTGACCCCCGATGCCAGAAGATCGGATCCTAGGATATGCGACGCCTGGGTAGGGCCAGTTTCTCCAGCAAAGTGCTCTCAGGAGCCCTTCTCTGCACTGAGCAGGGCTGGCGTGTGGCCGTGGGTGGGGACAGAAGGCCTATGCTTGGGAGGGTGCCCGGCTCACAAGCCTGGCAGCAGCTCTTGGCCTCAGTTCCTGCCAAGGCACGGAGGACAAACCCATGGCACCTGGACGACCACAGCATAAGCCACTTCCCCAAATTGGGCTTTGCTTTTCTGCCCTGACCTTAGGCTGCTTCCTGTGGAGCTCTTGCCTTCTCCCGCACTGGGGCTATCTGGATGTACTAGGTGGAGGGAGACTCCTCTGCTGCCCAAGAGAGCTGCCCTCTTCCTACTAAATCACTGGATCTGGAGGGCGTCGGGGTGGGGTGGTTCTGTCTCACTGTCCTAAACACTTCACACCCACTGTTTCCTGTCATCAGGCCATAATCCAAAGGCAGTCTGGGGGCCAAATGACCAGCCCAGGCCACTTCATTTCAGTCTGTCTGAAGATTCTCGGTGTGGGTGACCATTTTTAAAGATGGCTCTTTCACTTCTGTTTTTCCTCCTAAGGACACCGAGAAAGCTCTAAAGTCTCCATATTACTGATGTGACATGTGAGGCTCAATAAGGATTAAATTGCTGTGCAAGTGCAATGCCTCATAACGGTGGGCCCAGTACTGCATTCACTTCAGCCTGTGTGGCCAAGATGTCCAAGCTCACCTGCATTCTACCCCGAAATGTCTGCCTCATTTGATTCAAGTATCACAGTTGTCTTGGGGTAAGGGCAGGGGACAGCTGGAGACTAAGAGTGTGACGCAACAGAAATCAAGGTAGGACAGAGAAGTGCGAAGGGACAGAGGACCGATAGGCAGAGTGTGTACAGGGGCATGGCAAACAGAAAGAAAGGCATTAGTCAAAGGGTGGCATCCTAGACCACCTAACCTACCAGATAAAATAGACCACTGGATACCTGGGCTAGGTTCACAAGGATAAATATGGTTCTGGGAAGATTTTCTTCAGGGAAGCACACATCACAGAGTGCCCAAAGTGGCTGTGTGTGTGTGTGGGGGGGGAGGATCTGACCAGGATCTAACAGCTTTGGGCTTGTCTGGATGCTGACAGCCAGCTTCATAGGACCCCCCCCCCCAAGTCTCAATGTCCTCCATGGGCTGGCTTTTTGCCCTGGAGCCCATTGCTCCCACCAGGGTCCTGCTGTCCCTGGCAAAGGCAGCCAGGCATTCTCTCCAGGCCTCCAGAGGAGGCTGCTTCCTTTGTTTGGCAGACGAGGCTCCTATCCTTTGTTCTGAGTCAATGTGCTCCAAAGATAAGCCCCAAGAAAACAGTTGTTGCCTTTTGACACTGACAATTAGAACCATAGGAAAATGGAGAAAACAGGAAATGACAAATGGTTTTAGTGACCAGGAGGAAATGGTGGCTGAGAATTGCTGCTTGGTGACAGTCCACTCTTGGATTCCCTCTTGTGAAGGATAGCCCAGGTCTGGTGGCTTTTTCTCAGCACAGATGGAGGGGTCATTAAATGTCAAGTTTCCAGAGCTGCAATCTTCATACAAATCTCGTTGTATGGGACACTGGTAGGCAGGCCTTGTGGAGCCTAAGACTCTTTCTCTCCCGATGGCCAAGCTAGGAAGCCTGAGGTTGGGGCCAGCAGAGTCTCAATAGCGGAAGCCTTACTTCTTCCTCTGTCTCACCCTCTCCCAGCCCCACTTAGCCATATTCACCAACACGTCCCGCCTTTCTGGAAGCTTCATGCTGGTACCCAAGAAGCCAGTAAGGGCCACTTGTCTCTGGGGGCTTTTGGGACACTAGTGCCTTGACTTATGTGCCAAGCAGGAAAGAGGCAAAAGGCGTGGGCTGCCTAACCCTGCCTCTGCCTATCAGCAGCACACATCTCATCATAGGCCATGCCAGAAGCGAGCTGCACTACATCAGCTCTAGCCAGCATTTTAATGTCTCCTGTAGCCCCCCGTGCCACAGCCTTGGTCCTCTCTCTCATTCCTGAAGAGGAAAAATTAGGTGTTAACCAGATCAACAGTTACACAAAGGGACTCTCCAACTTGAATAGGTAGGGCCAAGGAAGCCAGCAGAAACTGGACATACCCTTTTTGGGCATGATTTGAACAGACATTACCTACCCTGTGATTCTCTACCCTGTAGGAAAACAGAGTATTGAAGGAGGGACGAAGAGGAGGATAGGAAGGGAAAAAGAGTTGAGAAAGAGGAGGAGGGAAGATAGGGCGCAGGAAGAGAGGGATAAAGGTAGTGGGAGGAAGGGAAAAGAGAATGTAATGAATGGGAGGAGGAAAGGGAGATAAGGGAGAGGGATAGAAGATGGGGCAAATAGATGAGTGAAAAGGAGAAGGAAGGAGAAACGGAATGGAAAGGGAAAAAGAGAGAAGAAGGGCTCATGCTTTTCCTACAAGGCACCTCCAACATGCTCCTGCAGCAGGTATTGCCTTTTGAGAGTCTCCATGGAAGCCAGCCCGCGTGGCTACAGAAGGCATTCAGCTATTCATCCCAAAGGTTAATGAGCGCTGGCATGGCTTATTACACTACTACGTTCTTTTGTAGACTTGGGAAGTCAGACTTGAAAGTCAGTCTCGCATGCTTATGACTCTGAGTTCCTCCAATCCTATCTGCCTGAAGACTATGTGGGAAGATGACGCTTGCAGGGTAACTCAGCCAGTCCCTTTAGCAGTCAGCTGACAAATGTTTACAGCTGCTATGCTCAGGGCCATGCTGCTTCCATCCTGAGAGCATTGCTGAATGGCTCTACCCTTGTGGAGCTTATACTAGACAGGGATATTGGGAAGACACAAGTCAATCACTGGAGGTAGTTTGTCCTCTAAAGGAATGTTGGTAAGGTGAAGGGGCACCCAGTGGTCAGGCATGAGCAGAGTCCTCAGGTCATTCTATCACCAGATGTGCCATACCATTTCTTTATTATGCAAGGCCCAGGGTGGTAATTGGCTGCTGAGTTCATTCCCTGTCACTTGGCATAAATGACTACATACTTCACTCACAGTACTAGAGCTACCCTTAGAGTGTTCTGAAGCCTTCACTGGGGGCTTCACAAAAATGTCACCAAAAGGGAATGACATAACTTTGTGAAGGTCATTTGTACCTTAGGGCTCTCTTTGCCCTTGACCAAGGTCTGTATAGGTACCCTCCCCCAACCTGGTCCTGGTGGCTTCAGGGCTGGATGATCCATCCCAGCAGTGTTTGTTTTAAATGCTGCGCATGATCCTCAGGAAGGGAGCCTTGTGTTTCTTCTGTCCCTGCAATACCTGATTCACTCTACCCCACTGGCTGCAGAGATCAGGGACTGAGAAGGAATGCAGACACGTCACTGCACTGCACTGTGCATTCATTCACTCCACCATGAAAGGCACTGGTCTTGGCACAGAATTAGTAATGTTCGGAATAGGAACCCTTCAGTCAAGCTGGCAGCGATCTTCTCATATGGCTTCTGTGGCCAAGAAAGAGCTGGGCAGGGCCAGGTGAAAACATGCCATTCAAAGTGGACAGAGTCTCCTGAGGTTTTGCTAATTAAGTTTCTTTGGAAGCTTTGGCTTGGACAAGGTTCTTCTGCTTTCAGCTGAAGCAGGGGAGGGGCAGCTAAGCAGTGCTGTGAATCTGAGGGAGAGAAATCAATAGCTCTTGACTGGAAAGCACGGCTTGTTCTTCCAGGCCAGGGCACGCAGGATAAAGAGAACAAAGCTGTGTGTACTAAAGCAGAATTTCCATTAAAGGCCAGAATCTCAGGAGGCCTTTCAGCTCGATGACCATCTTCTGCAGGTTTCTGTACA